ACTGAACCAATCATTTAGTTAAAAAAAAAAAAAAAAAAAAAAAGTAAGGGTGAGCGACAATAATGAATTGAGACTTGTTACTATTTGCCTGGTTCGAGGTGTTTGATGTGCAAAGGTTGTTGAACGACGAACCAAAATGCGCAATGGGCGACTCTCATGATTGACATCTCATTAGAATAATTGAATGAGATATTTTAAAACGCAATTAAGATCATTCTCAAGTTTTAGCCTTTTGAATGTCAAAACATTTACTCTTTAAAGAATATAAAAAATGTATGAAAACGATTTGTGAGATCCTACGTCGGTGTGGAAACCTATCGAGTAGTAGACGCATTTTAAAACTGTGAGACTGGGTGCTATGTGTATATCGGGCCAAAACTGATTTTTTTTTTTTTTTTTTTAATTTCATAAAATAGGGATAAGGTGCGCAAAACAATGGAAAGCACGAAATTAAATAATTAAGCGTATGAATGTGCCTTTCTTCACGTCTATATTCCATTTCTATTTTTTTTTTATTAATATTTGAAGAAGAAAAAAAAGTAAGGACAGGAAAATTTGAGAGGGAAGAACTTCCCGGTGGAATCTCCCATTGATCAGGCGGTAACCATCCGCCTCGTCGTTTTCTCTGCTTCTGAATTTCATAATCGGCTAACGAATCGAATTTCAGGTTGCGACGACAAATTTTCTCATTCTTCTTTGTTTCATCTGCCTTTAGCCGAAACAAGGAAACGAAGAAAAATGGCGTCGTGGAATTCGATTCCTCTCGAGATTACCTACGAAGTACTGGGATGGTTCGCCTTCGTTTCCTGGTCCATCAGTTTCTATCCTCAAGTCATCTTAAATTTCCGTAGGAAGAGGTACTTTTCGTTGATTTCCATTTGTTTATTCCATCCGCCTTCTTCTTCTTCTTCTTCTTGATTTTTCATTGTTTTTTGTGTTATGTAGTGTCGTGGGACTGAATTTTGATTTCGTGCTGTTAAACTTGACTAAGCACTCGACATATTTGATATATAACGCCTCGCTTTACTTCAGCTCCGCTGTTCAGAAACAGTACTTTGAGAAGTATGGTTTCGATCAGGTTTTGGACTTCTTCGACTCTGCTTCCTTTTCCTTTTTGTTTTCTCGTTGTGTGTGATCGTGCGGTCATGTTTTGATGTTGGAATTAATTGTTGCATCGGTGGATATATCTCGCCTTTATTGCCGGTTTTATTGTGTTGGACTTAAAATTAACAAACATAATTTTGCCTATAAAATCTGGATGTTTAAGTTTGAATTCAATGTCCTGCTCCTTGGTGTGAATTTGTGTGTCTTAGTGTTTAACATCTCCACATGTTAGATGGAACTATTTCACATTGTAATCTCGATCTAGAACTGTGTTTGATACTGTAAATTTTTGTTAATTTCTTCTTACACGTTAGTATATTAACTATAAGTATTACACTTCCTTGGTCAATTGACGTACATGTATTGAGTTTGCAGATCCTTCCACCTTTATATTTTCTTCTGATCTTGTTGATTTTCTTGGATCTCTCAGATGATACCTGTTGCTGCAAATGATGTTGCTTTCTCTATACACGCTGTTCTGTTGACGGCAATCACGTTGTTCCAAATTGTGATCTATGATGTTAGCAGTTTGGAATTCTTCTCTAAGTTTATATTTGTCCTATCCGCTGGTCTATTTAAAGATTGATTTTACTAACATATGTTGATTACTTTTATTTTTGCAGCGTGGAACTCAGATAGTTTCCAAAATATCGCTTACAATTGTGACTGTCGTATGGATATTTGCGGCAATTTGTTTCTTCATTGGTCTGTCTAGCCATTCTTGGCTCTGGCTAATCTCCATATTCAAGTAAGGGGTTTCCTTAAGAAGTTTCCTGAATGGTGATATTTTATTGGTTGACACTTTTAAATCTTTTGATGATCTATTATGTACTGAATCGGTCGAGTCAACACCTATGACAGGAATTCTATAATACCTTATAACTCATAAGGATGTGAAAAGCTACCACAAAATTTTAAAAAATCTGATTGGTGTTTGTCCTAGTACGTAAATTGTTGAATTTCTTTGCTACATAATAACTTCCTAAAAAGAGAGATTCTACATTTAAACACTTCTATTTGCAATATCCTAGCTATAGGTTTCTAGGAAAGCACGGGATACCTTTTCCTGTTATTCAACCAGATACAGTGGTGCAAGAATCAAGAGTTGCTTCCTCAAACACTTTTCGGCCATAAACTCTGGAAAATGTTTCTTTGATAATGACAGATTTTCCCCCTTTAAGAACTTTGATGATGACAGTTGAAGATGTCTTTTTAGGAAATTTCCCAGAGAGAAATTGTAGTGGCTTTGAGAATAGGTGGAAATGTAATGGTTAGATCCTAGAAAAGGTCATGTTTTTGGTTATTAGATGGACTTCTTTGATTGCATCCTTGTGTATTTATCTTCCTCTTGGATTCTATATTTTATTTGGATACGAAATGGAATCACTTCATTAATAGCTAGTAGAAGGACAGGTGCAATATCTGCTCTGCCAGAAACGGGGTTGAATCTACACCAACCAAGTTGTATGCTTGTATAGTACATGAAATGAGAAAAAAACCTTTGGATAAAGCACCGCAACTAGATCATACATGATGCGAGATAGTTCTTTGGGGTTATCTTTTTTAATTCTGTCTTGGATGTATTGAAACTCCCATAAGCAAAAGATCCAAAAAAAAAAAAAAAAAAAATCTTGTGGGTTAGTGAAACATCTCTCAAACTTGCAGATTGAGGCATATAGCTGACAGAAAGCTTACTCGAGCCAATTAGGGATCTCTTTGTTACTTCTATAGGTCTTTGTTGGGAGAATGTCTTGTCCTTCCACTTATGTTATGTCTTTTTGATGTTTTGACATTGCTAAACAACTTCTATTTTCAACTTAATGAGTTATATATATTTTTTTTTGGTCATTCAAATTGTGGCTTCATTGTAGAGAATCTCAAGTCTAGTTTGTCATTTAACCTCGAGTACCTTAATTTTGGCAGCTCAATTCAAGTATTTATGACGGCTATTAAATACATACCTCAGGTGAGATTTTCTTGCTTGTTTAAATTTTGTTATAAAAAAAGACATTGACCCATCAGTCCACTACCAGAATACGTATGACCAAATTAGGTTGATTAGTTCATTCAAGGAATTGGCTTTAACCCTTTGTGACTGTCCATCGTTGGGTCTGCCGAAAGTGGAAAACGGAAATTAATCAGCTTTAACTTGATTAAAAGTTTACATGAATAGGAGCAACAAATTATCATGCCTGAGCCTGTTATCTTTTGTCCAAGTAATTGCGTTCTTTCAGTTAAAATTATAACTGAATTTGGGTACGTTTTGATGCTTATAAATAACGCATTGTTAAGGCAATCATGAACTTTTTGCGGAAGAGCACTGATGGATTCAGCATTGGCAACATACTACTCGACTTTCTGGGTGGATTGGCAAATTACGCTCAGATGGCAGTGCAGTCCATAGATCAAAGTATGCTATCTTTGTCTTTGCCTTTTGGTTGAAGCGTGTGAAATTTTTTGACCCGGGTTTTATATAAATTCAACTTTCTTTTTCTTCCAGATTCATGGGTAAACTTTTATGGTAATATTGGGAAGACATTGCTCTCTTTGGTATGAATTCCTCCTTACTTCTATGATAGATGTTTAATACCCTTGGAGGCTTAGAGATG